TGAAGAAGTAGTTGATGCTTATAAACACCCTAGACGCCTTCAGTAATTATAGCTACAACAATAAATTGCTTTTATTTATGTTTTACTAATTACTATACATTTTTCCGATAAAATTTAATGTTTTTATCACACATGTATTTTGATTGTTTGGTTATGATTAATATGAATGATGAAAATATTGATTGAGATGAAAAATATGAGATATTTTATATCTTTAACGCCCCATATACGCTAATTTGAATTTTGAACTTTTTGTTTGTGCTCTCCCAGTAAGAAATTTCTAAAAAAAAAAAAAAACAAAAATAGCCGAAACACGTTGTTTAATATTAATAATAATAACAAGTGCACGCGAGAATAACGTATATATTTACACGGGCAATGTTATGTACGCGTGTCGTGATTAAAATACAAGAGATAGGAAGGTATGGTACCWATCGCTCGATAAAAAATTATTTTTTTGTCGTTAGAAATATCGGAAAACTTTTGCGCAACTTTGGCGCAATGCAACACCACACAGGTACGGGGATTGCACCGCAGCAGTATTTATAGGTATGCGATAAAGTATAATAATTGTGTACGTATTATTACTATAATATACCATCTCGTATACCACATATACCGTTATATGGGTGGCGACACGCGTTACGTGGTTCAACGTTTTACGAATGTATAAATATACTGCAGAGCGGTGGGCCGTGTAATACAACAACAATGATATAATCGTCGAATAATGTGTACGCGGGAATAGAGGAGCATAAAATAGGGGTTGATCGCGCGTGTATGTATGGCGATATTATATAATAATGTTTTATCACAATCACTGGCAATCTCCGCAGAATCCTCGATAGTAGTTTACTGGTAAACAAACTCGAAGTGGGTAACTACTCGACGAGAATATTGAAGATGCATGCGCGAGATTAACGTCAATACAAGACGTATATACCACGTATAATATATACATAATAATGAATGGCTTCCATTAAATTGATATTGATTTTTGCGAAATCGAGTTATCGAATTGTTTGTTCTAACCATTGCTCTTAAACTCGGCGCAAAGTTTGTAGTACAGTTTCGTGTATTATAACTGCTGAAGGCAGCAAAAGACGTTTATTATTTATAAGGAGTTTCGGGGTACACCAACCATCACTATAACCGCTTCGGAGTGCGGTCGCCACAATGACCGCAGTGATTTCGCATCATGAAGATCGGTTTATATAATATTATCGTTTCATAAATTAAATAGTACTATATTATTATCATATCAAAAATTAAAGGGAGACTCGTCGAATCGCGTTGTACCATAATATTGTGATGAAATGGCGGCGCGTGCTAGTCGGAGCGTTTGCGACAAGCTATGCTCGATAATATTGGATACTTATCTCAGACATCTGATTCAACTAAAATGCTATAATATACAAACATGTGTGTGTGTATGTTGGATACCRATATAACATTTTGTAAATATTTTTTTTTTTATTATAGATTTGAATACGAAACAGTWACAAAGTTTTACATGATTAATACAAGAAAACAAATAATAAATACAAATTAAAGTCAACGATTGTTTTTACAGTTAGTGAAACAAAATATCAAAATGGAAAGAATGATTTAGATTTGTATTATTTTGCCTTATGATTTTATTAATTTTTGTAAAGCTTTAGATTATAATTTTCAAAATTAATGTTCTTAGAACCAAAGTTCTAATTTMTACTCCTATGGAAAGACCTAATCGTACATACAACTATACTTTTGAAATATTAACGATTTGACTAAAAATTATTATTTTCTAGTGTACTTTATAATTTAACCAAATTTAAACTAATCTGATAATTTGTACACTTAAAAAGTTAGGTTAGGTTTAAAAATGATTAAATGTATCCCAGTAGTATTAAAGGTATAGGTTAAATTGATTATAATAATTTATCGTGAAGTGGGGGTGTTGCTGTCGAATATACTTTTGCAATTGATATTTTGAAAATTATTATCGTAAAAAAGTCATATTTATCGATTATTATACGTATCGAGTATTTTCTGAAAATGATTAAATTGATTAAATTGTTTGTCACACAACACTAATCCATACACCTAAAATAGGCCATGTATATAGATAATTTATGTAAATATCCTAAAAGTTTAATTATTAATTTTCATATGTATTCAAATAGTTAAGTAAGTTTTAAAGTAAATACACTAGGGTGGATTAGGATAACGTACATAGTAAGCGTGATTTAGTCTTATATATACGAGAATACACATATTGTTAGTTATAG